ATATTTGGTAAAATTTGATTGCACCCAATCTCTACCGTTCAAATGTGGACACGGACTTTTACTTCTCTGCTAAATTTGAAGTTGATATCTGCAAATTTAGGACACTTAGCACATTTCTCATTTAGCACGGAATATCGAGAACACCCTGTACAATAGATGAAAATCTTAAATACAAAACTTGTTGGTGTCTATGCGGGCTATATCGCAAAATAACAGAAAGTGAGATATGAATCATAGTCTTTCAGTTATAACCAATTTTCAATAATAGAGGGACCCATTTTTCTTTTTTTTTTAATTTGTCCTGTATATTTTTGAAAAAAAAAAATTATATATATATATATATATATATATATATATATATATATATATATATATATATATATATATATATATATATATATATATATATATGATGACACTATATTCCGGGATATCATCCGTTCGCTCGTTGAACTCCGACTGGAATCCTGCATCCGACTGGAATCCTGCAAATCTTGCATCCGACTGGAATCCTGCAGACGTTTCGCCAAAATCTCACTTGGCATCTTCAATGCTCGCGCTCCGAAAACACTTCGAACGGAGCGCGAGCATTGAAGATGCCAAGTGAGATTTTGGCGAAACGTCTGCAGGATTCCAGTCGGATGCAAGATTTGCAGGATTCCAGTCGGATGCAGGATTCCAGTCGGAGTTCAACGAGCGAACGGATGATATCCCGGAATATAGTGTCATCACATTTTTCCATCCGTGAATCAATACGTGAGAATATATATATATATATATATATATATATATATATATATATATATATATATATATATATATATATATATATATATATATATATATATATATATATATATATATATATATATATATATATTTATTTTTCTAGAATAGTTCCTGACCTCCCAATCTCCCCATTTTCAATAGGTTCCGTCGCGGGGCAAAGCTGCATTTTCGTGCCAAATATGAAGTCGATTGCTTCAAATTTCGGACACTTATTGTGTTTCATAACAATGTCCAAAAAACCGGCGTCAGATCCCGGCCATTTCTTACAAAGTTATGTGCCTCGTGGAGGGTTAAAAAGAAACAAACTTTAATTTAGTAGCTGCAACGGTTCGGAAGTTATTCAGGAAAAACCAAAAGACGAGAACGGAGAACGGACAGACAAAAACAAATTTTTTTCGACGGCTACCTGGATATAAAATTTTTATACGAGCGCAGATACTGTCTAAAAAATCGATTTCATCGATTTTCGAAAATATATCTAGTTGTTACTTATGTAGAGAGAGAGTTTGACTCTAAAAATAACCAATACGCAAAAGTAAGCAACAAAGAAGTTCGAGACCACCCATCAAGAAATAAAAATGTGTATTTCGTCAGTGTCATGTGCAACCGAAATTACCAGGTCTAACAGACTTACATACAATAATGAAGAGTGAAGAAAAGGACAAGACAGTCGCAAAAAGGCACTAATAATAACAAAGTTAATTGTTAAGTTCGGTTGAGAATTTACACAGAGTGTCTCAAAATGACCCGCTACTAATGTAATGGAAAATACGAAAATACGTGCAACTGAAGACAATTAACGAATAAATAAAGTCCTTTTTCTATGTTTATTTTTGTGCTAAAATAAACGGCACAAGCTATTGAATGTAATTATAAACAGAGCAAAGGGTCTGACGTTTTCGTTTAGCGACAAAGAAGCTCTGCTAGTATAATTCTGCAGAGAATTGTAATCTCTCTCTACATAAATTGAGAATTTAGTTAGAAGGGAAATCTGAAATTTAGTCCGATTTAAATGAAGATCTTAATGAATGCGAAAAGTGTTGGACTGAACAAACCATTCATTGCCAGTAAACAAATTTCTTAAATCAAGTTACGAAGCGCTGACTTCAGTGGAAATTTTTTTTTTAGAGAAAACGCGGGCAAATAGGTACCGCACTTTTTTGTTGCTGCTCCGCAGAATACGCGGGTTGAAATGTGTGTTCAGTGTATACAATTCTTGAGGCATGTGAAAATAAAGTCATAACAATAGTCCTAACGATTTAAGTTTAGAGAGCAATGAGTCTATAGTTTAGTTTACAGGGAAAAGGCTCAACCTTTCTCATAATACGCGCATATGCTTATTCTGAATTTCGACTGTATGGCAGTACGGATAGAATAACATTCGTATATTTTGCAAAATTTTCCATGGTTTATCTCATAAACGAATGCTTGTGTGCATTTATTATACATAATAATTCTTCAATCCACTCATGTTTGCTTCAGATGTCATATACTTTCATCGGTATTAGCCTCTTTCATGTGAACGATAGACCACAGGGGAATTACGGTGTACAGGGTGGTCGTAATTGGAGTATTTTAACAGGAAATACCTATTTCTGAACCAGATAGACCAAAAGGGCTCGATTTTTGAGAAATATTTAATGGTTAAAACGGCACAACCAACCGAGATACGGAGTGTCTTTCAATTTTCGGCCCTTTTAAAAATTGCCCATAACTTTTTTATTTTGGATTCGGATAAAAACGTTAATAGCGCATTTTATAAAGGCAAATGCAGTGGCGTGTTCAGATTTTTTCTACAGTTCTTCGTTTTCTCATTTTTTGTGTATGCATTAGTATGAAGTGTGTTCAAAAAGACGTCACATAGAAACCTTCAAAATAATTTAATAACCACTGGAACTTTACAAAAGATAAGAAGAATTTAAAAAACTCACATGAAAAACATGCAACTAACCATTTAATATTTTAATTTCAATTTTAGATATTAATTTTAACATTTTTTATTATTTAGAAAACAAAATTATAGGTATTTTAACCTAATGAACAAAACACAATACATATTAGAATACAAATTATAAAAATTTAACTTTTTACATTAAATATATTGAAATATTTTACCGTAAATGTTCAAATTGGACGTCGCTCTCTTAAATAAACTGAACACACCTTTTTCGTACTGAATGACAAGTATTCACGAACTCTATAGGATAGATGCAAGAAAACGCTTCCCGAGTGGCTTCCTCTAACTGTGCTTTGCTTTGGAAATTTTTCTCTTTAAATATAAGATCTATTAGTCTCCCCCTAAAAAAAAATCTTGAGGAGTTAGTTCGCAAGATCTGGCAGGCTACAAGAATGGGTCCTCTAGTTCCAATCCAACATTGTCCAAACTTTTCATTTAAAAGTTCACTTACAATCCGTGGGTGGTGAGCGGCACAACCATCTTGCCAATAATAAATAATCTTTCCAAGAATTAATCGCAAGTCTGTCAGATCTTCATAAAAAAATTAAGGTCTCACAAATCTACCAGGGAAAATTCCTACCCATACATCGAATTCAAAGCGACCTTGAAGATTATGATACATGCATGAGGATTTTCTATGCTCCAATGATAAGAACTGTATCTGCTAAATATTTCTGAACAGTAAATTCTCGCTTCATGGCTCCAAACAATAGACAATGGAAAATGAATGTTCTCATTGCATTTTCCGATATACCAGTTGCCAAATTATATTCTTCTACCGGCATTCCCTTCAAATAATTGGTGGACTTTTCTGGTACGATATGGTTTAAACTTTACTTTTTCCAGCATTGGTTGCGTCAGCTAGCGCCAGTGAGGATGTGCTTGAATTTTACAAGACTTCTCCATTCATATTCAATTTCCGGATTTCCTGTTCTTCGTTTCCATAATTGGTGAAATTATTTTTTAATGTCCGAAATATGCGCTTGTCTGATTGGTGCCCCTCTAAAGTTCATTGGCTGCCTCTGCGTTTTCATTTCACAAAATTAACACTTTGTCATATTAAACTTTTCATAATTTTGGTACATTTTAAATAGCTAAATGAACTAAACGTTGAAGTTTGGAGACTAAAATTTTGTGTGACAGAACACAAAATTCAATAAAGAATAAAGTTATGTCCTTACCCCCTACTAATACATAAACACAAAATGCCCTATATTTTCGCCTTTTTTCATCACAGATACCAACAAATCTACATGGGTGAAAAGGACTCGACACGGGCATTTTTTTAAGACCGCAGCCAAACTTTGTGCCATATAAAATAAGAAAGTTGTATTCATTTATGTGAAAACAGAGAACTGCCACTGCATTTGCCTTAAAAAAATGCCCTAATAATGTTTTTATCCGAATCCAAAATTTTCGTAAATAAAAAAGTTTTGGGTAATTTTCAAAAATTAAAAAACGCCCTCTATTCTGGGTATGTACGTCGATTTTGCTCTATCTAGTTCAGAAATAGGAGTTTCCTGTTAAAACACTTGATCCAAAGGAATTTCAATCAATTACAGGGGAATTCCAAGGAATTCTAATGAATTCCGGAGGAATTGCGAGAAAAATCTTTCCAAGGAATTATAAGTACAAAATGTTCTACGGGTGTGCCATTGATTATAACTACAGGATTGCAATCTTTTCACTTCACTTTTGTAACCAAAATGGCAATATGTATTTTTTAGGTTACACGGCGAATTTTCTTAAAATTATATTGACTCGTAAAATTTTAATCTCAAATGTAGGGGATCTATAACCCCTAATTGTGTGGAATTTTCCTAAATTATGTTTTTTTTTAAATTTACTATAATTAAAAAAAGCGATCAAAACGGGACGACAAATACGATTTTTATGAAGCGTGTTCCGGGTCACGCTTAATACCTCATAAATGTGTAACATGTATTAATTAACACTCTATGTGAGGATAAAATAAAACGCGACGATCGGTATTTTGAAAGTCACATTTCAGAATATTCGCGCATCTTAATGTGCCAACTCTTGGAAGTTAACGGCGCAACTTTCATGTTTTCACAAAATTTAGGCGAACTAACACTATAGTTTACATGAAATTTGGTTTTAGCCCGATCTTCGGTGGCACCGATGTCGTTTTAGGAACCACATTTCATCGTTTATTAAGTTTATTATTAACTACGTTAGACGTAATTTCCTTGGAGTCTGTGACTTGGTCCGTGACTTTATTTTTTTAAAACAGATGTTCCCGATCCACCTGGCCGACCACTGATCACATTCTTCTCGTCCAGAGCTGCCAATCTCTCTTGGGCTCCTCCAAAATACACCAACTACAGCAACATCACCCACTACACGGTTATGATTCGGTAAGTATACTTCTTATTTAAACATTTCCGATGAATATGCATTATGGTGCACAGTATGAAGGAATCTCAGACGAATTGCAAACAATTCCAGAGGAATTCCACGTAATTAAAATTCCAAAAGGAATCGTGGATGTGTCGGTTTAGCCCTCTGACATTTCTTGACATAAATTTCTTTCAGATTTGAGATAACAAAATAAAATTAACTAAAATTTGTTGCTCTTGTTTATTACACTTACATATAAATAATTATAAATGATAGCGTCCATACATACATTGAATTCGTAAAAGACGGTACACATCCTAAACAAGTGAAGCTCGAAATGGCAACTGCAGACCTTTAATTGGACATATTTGGAGTGTAAAGCGCAGAGGAATTATGGTGTAAAGTATGAAGGAATAACGTAGGAATTTCAAACCAATCCAGAGGAATTCCAAGTCAATAAAATTATAAAAGAAATTACGGATGCATTCTTTTGCCACTGCGATTGAGTCTTCTGACATTTCTTAATAAACATTTCTTTCATATTTCAGATAATAAAGTCAAAATAATTATATATATATATATATATATATATATATATATATATATATATATATATATATATATATATATATATATATATATATATATATATATATTCACGTATTGATTCACGGATGGAAAAATGTGATGACACTATATTCCGGGATATCATCTGTTCTTTTGTTGAACTCCGACTGGAATCCTGCAGACGTTTCGCCAAAATCTCAGTTGGCATCTTCAATGCTCGCGCTCCGAAAACACTTCGAACAGTGTTGCAGCATTGAAGATGCCAAGTGAGATTTTGGCGAAACGTCTGCAGGATTCCAGTCGGAGTTCAACGAGAGAACGGATGATATCCCGGAATTTAGTGTCATCACATTTTTCCATCCGTGAATCAATACGTGAATATATATATATATATATATATATATATATATATATATATATATATATTCAATTGGACATATCTGAAGTGTAAATCGCAGAGGAATTATAGGGTAGAGTTGTAGAGTATGAAGGAATTCCAGAGGAATTACAATCAATTCCAGACGAGTTCGTGATATAAATTTTTTTCAGAACAAGATAATAAAATAAAATTTCCAGAGGTTAATCGCCTTTGTTTACTATAATTATATTTCAAAACTTATAAAAGACAAAGTCCATATAAATAGGAAATTCCTAAAGCTACATATTTCTTGTTTTGTAGTTGAATGAATGAATCCTAGACCAATTCCAACCAATTCCAGAGGAAATCCAAGGAATGATAAGCATATAAGGAATAGTGGTACAGACTTTTGCTTTTGCGGATAAGTTTTCTGATATCTCTTGTTATAAATTTCATTCAAATTAAGTTATATATAAAGTCAGTTGTCAGTAAGTGTACTTGTAACACTTTGTTTTCTTCATGTTTCGTCGCAATTTTTTTTACCAAGGTATGCCCATTAATAAGTAACATTTTTTTCAATACTGCGGCAAAGAAAATGTCATTTTAAAATTTTATTATTAGAAATTGTAGATAAATGAAGTTTTAGAAACACCGTAAGTAATTGCGACAGACCCCGAATAAAAGGTAAGATTCACAAATCGTTTTGAAAACTAAATTTTTGATTAAGCTCCAATATGATAAAACACTTCGAGATATATCAGTAAGATATAGAGCATTCCTGCAAATCTGTTCAACGCAAATGCTGGCCGTATCACAGAAGCTAGCAACTAAATTATAAATTAACAACCTGCAAATAGAAAACTAATTTGTTTAATATAAAACGGATTGGTCGATTTTTAAAACTCCATTAACGATTATCACCTAAGCGAAAGCTCAACTTTATACTTTTAATTGAATCGCTAGTTGAAAATGTGGGTTCACGGGTGATTTACTAGTATCTACTCGATTGTTGATTCATTAGTTGCTAATTTTTCTGTTGTAAACCATTAGTTGAGAGAACTTATTAATACGACAATTAAAAGGTGATGATTGGAACAATGTGATTATTGTTATACTCAGAAAGCTGTATTAAGAGATACCCTAATTACCCAAGTATTTACAAGGTGTTTAAAAAATACGCGACAGAATTGAAGAGGATGACCATTTTATAAAGATGTGAAAGTTTGTTTGAAAATTGGCAAAATTGTTTCTAGTCACAAGTTGCCGATTTGGCCTTAACTAAATAAAAATTAAACAGTGGCGTTACTATTTCGTCTCTTGAGGTATTCTCGTTTACAAGGCAAAAAATAAAATAATACCAAAAATAAAATAATATTTGAGAAGAATTCGACTAAAAATAATAGTAATAACAATGGTCAGGTCGCTCATCAGTTTATGACACTAAGACATCGCTGGATTAGCATGTATGGCTTGCACGATCGAGGGATTTAAATTCTCTGGATTTTTTCCAGTACTTCCTTTACTCCTGTGGAGTTCGCCAGAACTCCTGCATCTGTGCTGGTTGTGATCACTGTAAACAGTTTTTCTAAATTTTTTGTATAGTAAATATGAAGTCATTTGTCGAATTGCAAGCAAATATTATTATAATGATGAGAAATATTTTTATGATAAATGGACATGCAATAAAATAGATTTTATTTTTTATCTCTTAAACGAAGCAAGAAGTGAGAAAAATGCAATTGACAAAAAGGTATTGGTTTTAGTCGCTCTGTTTTAGGGATGTATTGATATTCAATTAAAGTTAGTGGCGTACACTTTTATTAATAAATTTTACAGATAGAGATCGATAGAAATAAAACTGCCAAATCTTAAACAAATGCGGGAAAAGATATGTGAACACATTTTTAAACACCCTGTATTTTGGGGGCGATTCCGTTTAATTATTGCCGCGTCTGTATAATAAATAAATATAATAAACTATGGTACCGATACTCAAAACAGCGATATTTATAATTACCAGTGTTTTCATTCAATACGTTTCCTTAAATATAACATCCCCAGTCGTGCCGCAAAAAATGGACAACGAATAATTTATAAGCCCCCGTCATTCCTAGTTAGATGTTTAAAAAGTTATCGTCGACCACAAAAGCGCCCCACCTAGGATCGGTTTTAATAGAATTTATCCGGACAATTTTTATTCTGTCTTCGTCTTCTGAAAATTTCCAAGCAAAGGTCCGGGCGAATATCACGTACCCTACCAATTTCATGTGCTTAACAGCACGAGATAGCGACCATTTTATCAAATACAGCTTCACGACGTTATAATATCGGATGAAAATAGAATTATACATGTAATTGGGCAGGGCGAAAAGAAAATGCTAAATAAAGCGGGCGGGTGTAATTTCGTCAGCTTAAAATCAAGTTTCAAAAGAAGCAAATAATAATATTAAATACTTTTATTACGAAATTACAAGATACGGAATGATATTATTAATGGACAATATATGAGACAATAATAAAATATTTCTTACATTGTACAAAACTTCTGGCCAATGATCTTGTTTGCTTCCTCAGAGCTTAACTGTGTAATTGCTTATATATTGTATGAGGAGGGCAGAGCTAAATGACTCAATGTTGGGTCTGATTTTCTACTGATAAGAATAGAAGGGGTAATCCTGGTTTGTGGATCTCTGGGAGTCCGTAGAGACGAGGAATCTTAGAGACATGAGGAGTGACAAACTTTTTCACGGAGTCTGATAGAAAAGAAGCCTTAATAACATATTTAAGTTTGCGTTCCATAGGTGACGTAGGATCTTTTTTAAGTTGACGATGTAATCCGTCTGCAAGATCATCTTGAATCTTTGATATTCGTGTTCATGACCAGCGTAGCATTTCCTTTATCTGCTTTTAGGATTACAATGTCGGGATTAGATTTTAGAGATTTTAGATGTCATTAGCTGTTTAAGATGACAGTTTGTTTCGGATAGACTCGACATTTCAAATGATTTTCTCTTTTGGGATAATACGTGGGAAAGTTGGAACCTCAACAACAACCGACGCAGAAACAATCCAGAAGTTTTGTAAAAAGTATTACAGTAGAAAAACTATAAGGTTCTCAAAGAATTCTTATAAGAATCAAAAAATATAATATATGCACTAAAAATACTCTTAGTTTAAAAAGGATTTTGGCTTGTAAATCTATGTTGTAACAAGTGCCCAATGTTTAATTTTTGGACTATGAAATTAAATCTGTTATACTTTATTATTAGGTATTTGAGACAATAATAAATAAATAAATAATAAGAATGCAGAGGTTGTTCAACTAACCAAAACTTCAACATATGTTTTTTTCGGAACCAGCAAATATAAGGCAAATCGGCTGTGGAGTTTTTAACGAGCAAAAGGCGCGACTGAAACCCTATAAACCGTTAAACAAGATGTACCTATGTTGATTTATAATTTAAAACAGAGCCGAGTTGCCACTGTATACTATTAACCTTAACATGGTAGGATGATAACCCTCGTGTTATAAACAGATTTCGGTCTTTCGGCATAATAAATTCCACATCAGGGCTTTTGCAAATTGGCTGGCATTTAGAAAGAAATGCCACAGAGTTAATCTTCGAAGCGAGAATTGCTTTCTACCCTGTTACGCGGATACATATAAAAGAATTCAACTCCCCGTTGGGGCTGACTCGGACAATAAAAATGGTCTTCGTGTAAATTTTTAAAAAAGGCTCATTTTATTATCATATTCATCGGGAAGGCAGTACTACTCGTATCCAAAACGATTAAATGGACGCTTTAAATTTTTCTGTATAAAATACATAAACGTAAATAGATACTTTGATACTGATAATTTGAGTATAAGATAATTTTGTTTGTGTTATGAATTTTTATACAAATTGAATTAGTTTTTTTCTAACACAATTTTAACAGGTTAACGAAGACATTTTTGGGAAGAAGATTTCATTTAGGTATACAAACATAGCGTTTCCAAAATACAACTCAATACAAACAAGTTTTTTTTATTTTTTCCTACCACTTTTAAAATAGTGAAAAGCGATATGATATGGTATACACTTGTATAGG